ATTAGCCGGGCGTGGTAGTGCCCGCCTGTAGTTCCAGCTACTTGGAAGGCTGAGGTGGAAGGATTGCCAGAGCCCAGCAGCTCAATGCTGGGGTGGCCATGAGTGTGCCACTGAACTCCAACCTGGGCGATGGAGTGAGACTCTGACTCAAGAAGAAAAAAAAGTCCTAAAACATGAGCCTCTAGCTCCTTGCAGAATCGAAGAGATTTGAAGAACACAATGTGGATGAGAGGCCCCTCTCTGAGGTTCTTGAAATAACTTGGGGTGGCATGACTGCCTTTCACTGGAACCAACCCAGGTTGGTGATAATTCTTCACTTCGCTCTGGCCTGGGGTCTTGTAAGCAGTGAGGGTGCGTCAGAACACCAGACTACAGTGAAGAGCAGGGGTGAAGGTGGGGTGTCCTGGGAAATTGCCCCCCGACAGACCCTCCCTCTTGATGAGGTCTGGCTACCCAGATGGGGGGCCCCTCAGGAGCAGTCTCCCCATCCAGACCTGGCCACCAACCTGGCCGAACTCTCAGCTGGCTCAGCCCCTGAGCTGGCCCTGGAGAATCTCAGCCCTCTCTCCCGCCTAGCCTCACCCTCCCTTCTGCCTGCTTCCCAAGGATGAGGCCATTCACCCCCTGCCAAACCAAGTGCCTGGGGACAAGGACATCCACTCTGATGGAGGACTTGGCCCAGAATAGGTGAGTAGCAGGTATTCAACAGGTGTGAGGGCTGACTCATGGCTCCTAAATATATCCACATCTTAATCCTTGGAACCTGTGAACAAGCCACCTTACATGGCCAAGGAGACCTCACAGATGTGATCAAATTAAGGAACTTGAAATGGGAGATTATCCTGGATGATCTGGGTAGGCCCACTGTTCATCACAAGGGCCTTTATGAGAGGAAGGTGGGAGGGTCCAGGAGGATGCTGTGTTACTGGCTTTGAAGGTGGAGGAAGGGGCCGCCGACAGGTTCTGGAAGCTGGAAAGGCGAAGAAACGGAATTTCCCCCAGAGCCTCCAGAAGGAACACCTTGATTTTAGCCCAGTGAGACTGATTTTGGACTTCAGACATCTAGAACTGTCAGATAATAAATTTGTGTTGTTGGAAGCCATTTAAGCTTGTGTTAACTTGTTAAAGCAGCAATAGGAAACTAATAGAACAGTTTAAAGATAATAATCAATATTTTAAAAAACTATCACTCTTAGAGATGGGAATCGTGCTCTGTCACCCAAGCTGGCTTTGAACTCATGGGCTCAAGCAGTCCTCCTGCCTCAGCCTCCTGAGTAGCTAGGACTACAGGTACACACGACCATGCCCAGCGTGTAATTAATATTTACTCAGTCCTCAAAAGGTGTCAAAACCCATTTACCTAATTTACCCCATACCATAGCTCAGGAAAGCAGTGTTAATAGTAACATAGTAATCTCCATGTTATAGGTAAGAAAACTGAGGCAAAACCATTTGAGTTGGGCAAGACCATGCAACTCAAAAAGTTGGAGTTGGGCATGGTGGCTCACACCTGTAATCACAGCGCTTTGAGAAACCAAGGCAGGGGGATCACTTGAGGCCAGGAGTTTGACAGCAACCTGAGCAATATAGTGAGGCCCCATCTCTCCAAAAAAATTTTTTTAATTAGCTGGGCGTGGTGGCATGTGCCTATAGTTCCAGTTATTCAGGAGGCTGAGGCGAGAGGATCACTTGAGCCTAGAAGTTTGAGGTTGCAGTGAGCTGTGATTGTGCCACTACGCTCCAACCTCGGCAACAGAGCAAGATCCTGTCTTAAAAAAGAAAGTGTGTTGAGTTTTCACAGAAATGCCTGCGGTTAATGAATATATGGACTCTGTCACCCAGGCAGTGACATGATCAAGACTCATTGCAGCCTTGACCTCCTGGACTCAGGCAATCCTTCTGCCTCAACCTCCTGGGTAGCTGGGACTACAGGCACATGCCACCACACCTGGCTAGTTTCTGTTTGTTTGCTTTTTTGTAGAAACGAGGTAGTTCTAAAACATTTTTATCATGCCAAAAGGCAATCTTGTGTCACCAGACAATGACTCTTCATTCTTTCCTCCTTTCAGTTGCTAGAAACCACCAAAATGCTTTCTGTCTCTGTGGATTTGCGTATCAATCCAAATATGACGTATAAATGAAATCCCACACCAGGTGACATTGGAGTCTGGCTTGTTTCCTCTTGGAAGGTTGCAAGCTCAGAGTCCGAGTTCTGCCTGACTCCAAAGCCACACTCTCCCCTGCTGCATGAGGGGTGGCCCCTCGTGAGGGACCAGGGTGAGACACCCAGGGAGGGGGCAGAGGGGGTAGAAAGCCTTTAGAGGCTGGGGTCTACCTTTGCCGTGGCCTCTTCGTTCCCCTCCACCATCTTCCGGAGCTTGATCAGGTGCCACAGGTCCTGGGCAGGCCGGCTGGCACCCTTGCTGCCCTCCAGCAGCTGGGCGGTAGACGGAAGGTCCTGCATCAGGGCCAGTTGGCTCTCTACCTTGTCGATGCGGTTCACCACATGCTCGAAGACGTTGTTGAGTCTCCTCATGGGGTTGAGGATGGGCGGAGCGTCTCCTTCTCTGGGCACGAGCACGACCTGCGAGGCCTGCAGGAAGTCCTCATCCCCCGAAAGGACCTTCGTGAGCTCGGCCATGTGGATGTGCTCCAAGATGCCGTGGAGCAGGAGATGCAGGGCCTTGAAGTTCACCACCCCGCACTGAGGGACAGCGATGTTGACCAGCTCGGTGAACGTGACTGAGAAGCTCATCCTGCCAGCGGGGGGCGGTGGGGCTGGGCTCTGGGTGTCCTCGGGGACGAGGTGGCGTTCAGTGGTCCAGAGAGCTACAAAGACAGCTTGGGAGGCGGCAAGTCACGGCAGTCAGGGAGGAATGGCCTCTGTCCTGGCTGGAGCTCAGATCAGAGTTTCCGGTTGCTAGGACACCAAAGAATGTGGTCAAGTGGGCGTGTTTCCAAGAGTCTGGAGTGGGGCCGGTCCTCCTGGGCAGGCCTTGCCCAGAGTAGGTGCTCAGTTAATATTTGATGAATGTTTGAATAGTGCATGGGCAGCCTTTTCATTCAAGCCCTTCAATGATGGGAGACTAGTGACCCTTTCCGAGAAGCACATAGGGAAGAGATGGGGCAGCCCCCTCCTCAGAAGTCTCTAGAATCCACTCAAAAGACAGATCTCCTGGAGTTAGGAAGACCCAGGTTTCATGAAAAGAGGATGTAGAAGCCGGGCTCAGTGGCTCAGCCTGTAATCCCACACCTTTGGGAGGCTGAAGTGAGTGGATTGCCTGAGCCCGCGGGTTCGAGACTCGCCTGGGCAACTTGGCGAGACCTCAGCTCTACAATAAATCAAAATTAGCTGGGTGTGGTAGTGCGCACCTGTAGTTCCAGCGACTCGGAAGGCTGAGGCAGAAGGATTGCCGGAGCCCAGCAGGTCGAGGCTGCGGTGACCGGGAGTGGCCCCTGCACTCCAGTCTGGGCGACAGAATGAGACTCCAACTCAAAAAAAAAAGAGGATGTAGAAAAAGTTATCTGAGTTACACCTGTCTCTGGACACAGCCACAGCCCCCTATAGCCTGCCCAGGAGGTGGGGAAAAGCTGAGAAGGGCATCATCTGTTTTGAGTCCTACATGGCCCTGCCCACCTGAGAGATGACACCCTCACTGGACCCTGCTTGGCTCCACACTTGAGCTGGGGCTCACCATGACCTCATTGCTTCTGAGTTAGGTCTCTGCCCTGCTCTAAAAGTCTTAAGAATTCAGGCATGGGCCAGGTGTGGTGGCTCACGCCTGTAATCCCAGTACTTTAGGAGGCCAAGGCAGGATAATTGCTTAAAGCCTGGAGCTTGAGACCAACCTGGACAACATAGCAGGACCCCATCTCTACAAAAAATTGTTTGTTTTTTTTTGTTGTTGTTGTTTTTGAGTTGGAGTCTCACTCTGTCGCCCAGACTGGAGTGCAGTGACCGCTCTCGGCCACCACAGCCTCGACCT